CACCATGCCTAGCACATAGTAGGTGTTCAATGAATGTTAGCTTTAATAGTAATAATATTAACAATTATTATTAATGTCCAGTTAGATATTATTTTTATAGAAAGTATATTTATTAGGGCATTTTCTCTACTGTCTTACTCCAACACTGTTGCCTTTTCTTTCTTTCCATTGCCCCAACGGGAAACTTTGAAATTCTAGATTGTTCCATTACAGGATTGCAAAGCATGACATGAAAGAAAGTGCCTATAGGAAAAGGGTCAATAAAAAGTCTTTGGCTTATTAGCAAATCTTACCTGACTTGTGTTTTATCCACCTCCCTTCGTAGTAAACAGGAACAGGGCAGTGTATTTATTCCCTTTTGCACAGCCTTCAACAAAAGTACTAAGCAAGACCCTCCAATTCACTTGCCAAAAAGTGCAATAACAATATCTCTGGGAAAATGGAGCTTAATTTGGTTTTTCTTTTACTCCTTCTGAAACCCCTCTGGCATTAACTTAAGCCATTTCTTCTTGTTCCATTATCCATGAATATGGAAAAGTTTCTTCTGATTATAAAGGGAGGATGAGGTCAAGATTTTCTCATGAGAACCTTTTGTGTACTTAAAGCCAGAATCGAGTTAGGCCTCATCATCTCTTCTCCAGGCTAAACAGCCCTGGTTTCTTTTACCTCACTCTTAAAACCTATTTTCCATTGCTTTGGATCTCATTGGTCATGCTTCTTTTCTTTATCTTCAGTTTTTCTACTTCTTGGCAATAACCCAGACTGTGCTTAGTCTGCTAATAAGAGTCCAACTTAAAACAGTTTAAGGGGAGAATAACTTCAGGTGTTTCCATTTATTTATTCACATTTATTGAGTGTTTGCCTTGTGCCAGGCCCTGTGCCAGGTGTAGGGGACCTAGATATTAATCAGATATAGTCTCCATGCTATCCCTAGCTCACAGTCTAGGGGGAGATGTGCAATAAAATGTTATAGGTGATTGAATTATGCACAGCTGTGGGAAGCTGGAAATTGTTGAGGACAATTGGTTAGAAATAGTCATTTTGCCTGGACTACAGGTTGAGACTTCTGTAGAGGAATAGTAAGGCATAATGCAGGATGGATGGTCTGGGGAAAGTTTGTGAAGGCCCTGAGTGACAGCACAGGAGCTTGGGATTCTGGGATTCTAGAAGAAGTGGACACCCATTGCAGGTGTCGGAGTAAGGAAGTGACAGGCTTGAATCTGGCTTTTTGGATCAAGGACAGAGATACCACAAGCCTTAGTCTTATCTGCCCACCACTGCTGTTTTCTGTCTTGAAAGTGATACAGTGATGGATCCCTTATTTATATACTTGGTTTTGGTTGGTTGTGGGTTTTTTGCTCTGAAACTTTTTTTTATTTGTTGTTTTTAAATATTTTTTCATTATTTTTTTTTTTAGGGAGAGAGAGATAAAAACATCCATGTGAGAGAGAAACATCCATCAGCTGCCTCCTGCATCCCCCCATCTGCCTTGACCAGGAATCGAACCAGGACCTCTCAGTCCATAGGATGACATTCAATTCACTGAGCACACCGACCTAGCTGCTCTGAAACTTCTGTAAAAAACTAGTTCTTAAGCTCTGGCGAAATTTCATTCCCTATACAGCAAGAACTTCATGAAGAATTGAGAGAGAATTGGGTGCCCAACCTGTATAAGACCCAATGGCAGGCCAATCTATGTAGGTTTGGTCTGGCCACGTTCACCCTTCCCCAGCCCTATGCTAAGAAGAGTACAAGAATGAGGAGAGGATCCCAGGGCTTATCTGGGTATTTGGTAAGGAAAGCTAAGAAGATAACAGGCCATGTGAGAGTCAGAAGTTCTTGCTGAGAAGGAAAAGAGGCTCAAAGGAATTTGGAATGTTGCCAGAAGGAATCATGACCAACCCAAGCACTTGGAACCTGCATCATATATCTGAAAACCTCCAAATTCTATCTCTTTGCCTTCGTACTTTGCTAACGGTTTATTCCCTCATGCTGTCCAGTTGTGGTTTACAGAGTACTTTACAAGGCCACAACTGATCTGGCAAGCCATATACTAAGTTTAAATAATAGTTACTATTTATTGAGCACCTACTATATACCAGGCATTGTGCCGTGAACGGGATATATATTAGCTCATTTAATTCTCATAGCAACTCTCTGATGTAGATGTTATTGTCCCTATTTTATAGGTTATGAGAGTGAAGCACAGAGGAGTTAAGTATTATGTCCAAGGCTACCTGATTAGTATATGGTAAGGCCAGAATCGGAATCTGGGTCCTAATGGCTCGAAAACTCATGTGCTTCTTACCTCTCTAGTCCTAAAGTGGCTTCAAACAGCAGAATAACATGAAGTTCATAAAGAAATTCTGAGGCTTGTTTTTACTGTAGACCTACTAGAGGTGGAAATGGGGTGTGTGTGTGTGTGTGTGTGTGTGTGTGTGTGTGTGTAAGAAGGGAAATAAGCTGGGTTGGCAAACTTGCCTATAGGCCATTTCTGGATTACTACCAGTTTTCATATAGACTACAATGTAGAGAATGGGTTTTACATTTTTAAATGGTTTGGGGGGAGGGATCAAAAGAAGATTCATATTTTGTGGCATGAAAATTCATGTTTCAGTATCCATAAATATTTATTGAAATATAGCCATAATCATTTATTTACATGTTATTTATGGCTGCTTTTTTCTACAAAGGCAAAATTGAATAGTTGTGACAGAGACTATTTGACACATAAGGCCTGAAATAGTTACTATCTGGCCCTTTACAGAACAAATTTGCCAACTTCTACTATAGACAACAAGAAGGAAGGGACCAAGGGATTTCATCCTGTGGCAAGACTAAAGGCAAAGAGTTGAACTTTAAGGTTGTTTCTGGAAGTGTTGTGGCCATATGGAGAGAGTATAACCTGAGCTTCTTTGGGTCCTGGAAATAGTTTCGTTGGGCCACAGAAATTTGTTCAGGAATAAAAAGCACAGATAAGAAGGATTATTCTATGTACTAACATTCTCTATTGGATAATAGAGAAATATTTTGTGGCCCTGGCAGGCTAGTTCTGTTGGTTAGGGTATCATCCTGATAATGCCAGGGTTGCTGGTTTGATCCCCAGTCAGGGCACATACAAGAAGCAACCAATGATGCATAAGTAAGTAGAACAACAAATTGATGTTTCTCTCTCTCACCCTTCCTCTCTTTCTCTGAAAATCAATCAATAAATAAAAATTAAAAAAACATATTTTGTGCCCTGGCCGGTTTGGCTCAGCGGTTAGAGCATCGGCCTGTGGTCCCGAGAGACCTGGGTTCGGTTACCGCTAAGGGTACGTACCTCAGTTGCAGTTTGTCCCCGGCCCTGGTTGGGTTGTGCAAGTGGCAACTACTTGATATGTCCCTTTCACGTCAATGTTTCTCTCTCTCTCTCCCTCCCTCCCACTCTATCTGAACAAAATATCAAAAAATGTCCTCAGGTGAGGATAAGAAAAAAAAAAAATATATATATATATATATATAGTGGATGAAGTAATTCTTTCAGATATTTACTAGAGTCCTCCCTGTTTTTTTGTGCCAGATACTGGCCAGATACTGTGTTAGATGCTGGAAATATATAGATGAAAAAAATACGTCCCCTAGCCCAGCCAGTGTGGCTCAGTGGTTGAACATCAATCCCTGCACCAAGAGGTCAGCGGTTTGATTCCTCATCAGGGTACATGCCCAGGTTGTGGGCTAAATCCCCAGTGGGGGCCACGTAGGAGGCAGCCGGTTAATGTTCTCTGTCATCAATGTTTTTCTCTCTCTAAAATAAATAAAGAAAAAAAAATTAAAAAAAAAAAAAGATAAGTCCCTTCCTTTGAGGAGCTTATGTCCTAGTGGGAAAGCCACATATACATGTATAGAGCTAGCTCTAAGTATTTTAGTAGTATACTGTGGGTTTGAGTCCATGATGGATGAAGCAGAAAAAAGTCAGGGACTGCTTCTGTAATTTGTGGGACTACTTTCAGTAATTTGTGATGGGCCCTGAAGAAAGAAGAGGTGCTATTCTTCAAACAGCTACATAACAGGCTGAGGGAAAGCCTGATACAGTGTTAGTATTTGGAGCTTATGAGACTGGAAGAGAAAGAGGCATGAAATTATTTAAAGGTTCTGTTGCTGGCTGACTGGCAGGATGATAAAATCTGATAGAGAAGAAGGGAAAGGAGGAAGGAGGCAGTGGGTGGGGTTGGGGATGAGTTCATTGTGGAACACATGATTTGAAGAAATGATGAAACACATCCACCATCCGGTTAGAAAACCTTCTTAGAAATTTTGGCACAAGGTTCCCAGAATTCAGATATAAATTGCATTTTCAGAGCTTTTTCATTGGGAAAAGGGGAAGTACACATTCATGTTGTAGAGAAATTCACAACTCTACTTTGACACATGATAATTAGAGCCATGAGATTAAAAACAGCAGTGGACAGGAAATGAAGTCATCAGATAGAAAACTAGCAATAATTATGCATTTGCTATAAAACCTTGTTCCATTCATGCCATCGGCTGCTCTCAGCATCTACTTTATCGTTCTGGCTCTATTGCCTCCTGAGACTTGGATGACAGAGAAGTGTCAGCTTTTACCTTCTGCATGAGACTTCTTAGCAGAGGTGTCCATATCTATCATCCAGGTCCAGTTGTGTCTTTTTGGTTTTAGAATTCCACAGTGGAAACATTCCTAAAACTTTTACTCAGACACTTGTTAGATTGTCAAATGCTTAATCTCCACATTTCAAATGCCCAAATGTCTGATTTTAAGGACTGGGAAAATCTGTGATTGCCTTGTATATATCTACTTACCAGTATAATGCGTAGGTTTGGGGAACACTTAGGTTGATCTTTATCTTCTCTGATTCTTTTAAAGAAGTCAGCATTTTGATATCCTTTCTGTTTCTGCTTTTTGAAGATTTTCATGCCAGATATGAAGAAGCAGAAGCTGAACTGAAGCAGAGAACTGAAGAATGTCTGCTATATACAGAGACCATTGAAACACTTCCTGTGGCTGGAAGACAGCAACCCCCTGTCAGAAGCTTTATTTTATTTGGAATTTCAAGTGTATAGAGGATTTTCTTCCCAAAAGTTGGGAAAACCTATAGGTAAGATTAGATATACATTTTACTTAGACTTTTAGATTGCTTTAGATTAAAATAATCTATTTCCAGAGGAAGGAGTCAGTCAGAGATTTTAGTATTTAGTTAGGCAGCGGGGAGTAGCAGGCTGCCTGGCATGCCTAAGACAGTTTCTTAATAGGGAGGAGCACATTTCTACCAGAATATAATAGCAGAGAGCCTCATAAGGAAAACTATGCAGTAAGTAAAATATATTTGTTTACTTTTCATTATAAAACAACCATATCACAACAAAACAAAATAAAATACAACAGAATTATACAAAGTAAAATTCTGTACCCACCCAATTTTAGTCTCCCAAAGTAACTGTTGTTAAAATGACTTGAGATGTATCTTTTAAAGGGTTGTTTTTGTTTTTATTTATAATATATATGACGTATATAATACATTTTGAAGTGTTCTGTATAACACTCTAACCTGAGGTTTTATCATTCATGCCTGGCAGGTTATAAATAATGCCTCATTTGTAGATTGGGTCAGATGAGGTCTGGGTGAGAATGGTCTTAGCCTGACCTGTGAGTTTTCATGCTTTGCTGCTGTATCACCCTTTGTCTGAAGCTTCCTAGTGGTATACTGTCTTTCATGGCTCCCCATCCCCAACAAGCTTCCCTTCCTGAATTCTCTCCTTCTTTGATGGTCCTGCTGCTCTTAGGGTCATGTAATGTTGGTTAATAAACATATATGAGGCCCTTCTCTGTGCCTGGCTGCATACTAGGCAGTGGGGGTAGGGAGACATGGAGGATAGTAGCCTTTGACTCCATTTGCAGTCGTTTGGCAGGACCAGTTCTGCTTCTTTCCCTTCTTTTCTATCCCTGCCTTAGTTTTAGGCCTCTCTTGCCTTCCTCCAGGTTGTTGCAGCAGCCTCACTCCACCCTTCAATTCCTCTCTAGCCTCCAGTTTGTTCTGCACATCACAGCCAGTTTGATGGCCCTACAGCACAATCTAGTTGTACACAGTCCCTTCCCGTTTTGAGGTACAGTGGTTCACAAGTATGCTCTACAAGCCTTGAGAGGCCCTAGAAACACTTTCAGAGTATCTACAAGGTCAAAACTATTTTCCTAATAGTACCAAGATGTTACAAAGCAACAGTGGGCAAAACTGCTGGTGCTTTAGCACAAATCAAGTCAGTGGCACTAAACTGTACTAGCAATCATTGTGTTTTTTTCACTGGTACACACTCAGAATTGTGTTTTTGGGTTTTTAATATGTTTTTATTGATCTTTTAGAGAGAGAGGACGGGAGAGATATGAGAGATGTGAGAGAGAAACATCAAACAGCCACCTCTTGCACGCCCCCTACCAGGGATTGAGCCTGCAACCCAGGCATGTGCCCTGTCTGGGAATTGGACCAGGACCTCTCAGTCCCTGGGACGATGCTCAATCCACTGAGCCACACCAGCTGGGCAGAGTTGTATTTTTTTTTAAATGCCATTTCACTTAAGAATGTCCTTGATTAAACAGTAAAAATGATTAATTTTATTGCATCTCAACCCTTGAATATACATTTTTTTAATATTTTGTGGGACAAAATGGGAATGTTCATAAAGCACTTCTGCTGTCTACTTCAGTGCAGTGGTCACAAGGAAAAGCCCGTGTTGGATGCTTGAACTGCAGGGTGAGTTATCCAGTGCTCATTTGTACTTGAAAGAATTACTGACTGTCGGATTGTGAGGCTGGAAAGTAGATAGGGACCAGATGTTGGAGGGCCTTGTAGACCATAAGCTTCGGTGATCTGACTCAGCCTGCCTTTTTCAGCTTTTTATACTGTCCTGCTCACTTAAATTCATTATTTGCTCCTGCTTGTTATTTCCACGTGTACATCATACTGATTCAATATTTGTATATATATTGTGAAATGATCACCACAATCAATCTAGCTAACAAGGGTCACCATACACAGTCACAGAATTATTTTTTCTTGTGATGAGCATTTTAAGATATACTCTCTTAGCAGGTTTCAAATATACAATACAGTATTATTAACTATAGTCACCCATCTATATATTGCATCCCCATGACTGACTTATTTTATAACTGCAAATTTGACCTTTTGACTCCCTCCACCCTTTTCACACACCCACCCCTACTCCCCACCTCTGGCAGCCACCAATCTGCTGTCTGTATTTATTAGCAAAGTTTTGGTTTTTTGTTGTTTGTTTTAAATTCTACATATAAGTGAGGTTGTACTGTATTTGTCTTTCTCTCACTTATCTTACTTAGCATAATACCCTCAAAGTCCATCCATGTCACAAATGACAAGATTTTATTCTTTTTTTTTTTCTTTATTGATTTTAGAAAGAGAGGAAGGGAAAGGGAGAGAAAGTTAGAAACAGCAACATTGGCGGGCTGATGCACCAACCACTGAGCCAAACTGGCCAGGGCAAGATTTCATTCTTTTTTAAAATGTATTTATTTTTTTTTATTTTTTTTTTATCCTCACCCGAGGACATTTTTCCATTTTTTGTTCAGATAGAGTGGGAGGGAGAGAGAGAGAGAGAGAAACATCGTCATGAAAGGGACACATTGAGTGGCTGCCACCCGCACGACCAACCAGGGCTGGGGACAAACTGCAACCGATGTACGTGCCCTTAGCAGGAACAGAACCCGGGTCTCTCTGGACCACAGGCCGACGCTCTCTCTAACCGCTGAGCCAAACCTGCCAGGGCTCATTCTTTTTATGACAGTAATATTCCAGTATATGTGTGTGTGCCACTTTTTTTTTTTTTTTTTTTTATCTTTTCATTCATCGATGGACATTAGGTCGTTTCCATATCTTGCTACTGTAACTAATGTAAATATTGCATTGAACATGAGGGTGCATAACCTTTTCAAGTTAGTGTTTCTGTTTTCTTCAGATAAATACCCAGAAGTAGAACTGCTGGATCATATGGTAATTCTGTTTTCCTGCTTGCCATATCTTAAGTACTTTCTCTTCCCCTCCTGCCCTTTCTCTTACATTCCTTCCACCAGGAGATGCAAAGACAGCTCTGAAGGCTGTTTGTGACCCCCATATCAGAGCCGGGGAAGAAGATGTGCCCGAATCTAGACCTTTTGCCTCTGAGAATCTTACTATCCCAGCCCTGTTTGAGGCTGTTATGAGTCAGCACCTTAGCAGGCCTCATATTTCTTTTACTATAGTTGAGTTCACTGCAATCTGCATAATGCTGCCCAGCCTTACTACGCACAAGACTCGGGGAAAACCTGTGAAATACCTTAGTCCCTGGAATCACACAGACAGTCCTTTGATTGAGCTGATTTCACAGATGTCTCCTCTTATCCATCATGTGTTAAATTTGACTAGCTTCTGTCTGAGAGTGCCCCTTCCTTGACCTTGTGCCCTACATAGTAATGATATCATCAGAAACCAAATCAGCCAACTAAGGTCTGGCAGAAAAAGAATGTAACCTTGTACCTGATACAAGAACTGCCATGAAATAACATGGTTGGGCTGGTTTATAGTTCTTTCTGCATAATATGCCAAATACAAAATACAAAGTTATCTCAGAGCAAGAAGAAACTTCTGATAAGTTAGGTTTCAGATTAATTCAATAATGATAAAGTGGTGATAATGTTCTTGCATTTATGTAAGCTAGAGTAGTGCTGACCAACCTTTTTGACATCATAGCACACATGGAAAATGATATGTTCAGCTTGATGAAAGGATCAATATCTCATTCACAGTAAGGAACCTCTGTGTTAAGGTTTCTGAATAAAACCATTCTTATTGGTGTCCGGCTAATTCTGACTGGCTACCCCCTTCTGCCTTTCATCATTAAGGTTTAAATATAGTATAATAGTTTAAAGTTTGAATTCTAAGCCAGAATATCTATATTTAAATCCTAGCTTTGCACTTAGTAGCCATGTGACCATGGGCAAATTACTCAATCTCTTTATACCTCAGTTTCTTCATCTGTAAAATCTGCTAATAGTTGTACTTACCTCATAGAGTTGTGAAGATTACGTAAGTTAGTATATGTAAAATATGGTATTTGTAAAGTGCTTGGAACATCACCTGGCATATGGTAAGCACTATGTAAGTGTGTGTGTGTGTAACTACTTGTAGTAGTAGTAGTATTTACTTTAATGGCTGTTATACTGCTTTGTTCTGGGTTTAGACTCCATGCCCCTCCGATTGCCTCGTCTTCTGCCTCACATTTCTTAATCTTGGCCAGTTCCTTAATAGTATCCGTCCTCCTTCCTTTCACTGTCTCAGTTTCCTTTCATTTTCTCAGTTTCCATTTGTTTGGGGCCCCTCAGCCAGCTGATGCCTGAGAAAACAGCTGAATTGATCATTATACTCATCAGCTTGCTCTTACCGCTATTCCTTTTCTAGAAAGCTCTTGTGACTGAGGGAAATAAGTCTTACAGAATGGGAAGAGGAGAGAATCATAGACCTTGAAAAGAACTCTAGAGTGGTTGGGAGAGGAGCATGAGCTGAGTTAGCTGAACTGTTAGCCAGCAAAGTCTTGTTCTTAGTGCAAAAGTGATCATCTGATTCCACATACCAGAAGTAGGAGCTGGTTAGTTCTGTATAGGCTCTACCAAAATACAGGACAGAGCTGGTGACTTTTGGGGCATTGTGGCTCAGAATACTTCATGGAGAAATGACACTGTTCTTTCAGAAGGTGGGCCTTGGAGTTCTTTCGGGGGAGAACAGTGGGTCAGTATTTGCATGTCAGGAATATCCATTGTCTTTGTACTCCTGCTGGGTGAGACTCTGCTCTGTCAGTTCTCTGGGGCCCTCTCTCTATGCAAAGCTCAGGATCTGTACCTTTAACAGCCATTATACTAGCAGTACAATCAATACTTGTTGACTAATAGGTTTTACAAAGAAAGGAGAACAGGAATTCCTACTCCTGTTTATTTTTTTTACTTCTTTTTTTTTGGTACATGCCCCTAATGGGAACAGAACCTGGGACTCTCTGGTCTGCAGGCCAATGCTCCAACCGCTGAGCCAAATCGGCCAGGGCTCCTATTCCTATTTTAATGGAGAAAATAAGATAAACGTATGCCTAGGACTAGAAACATTTATTATGATTGATGATGATGGTACTATGATGGTGAGACTGCGTATGCTCTGCCTCTTTTCATCCCTTCTGCTCATTTGCCATCACTCCCCCACACCCTCTCTGATCCAGCCAGCCTGAACAAGTTCCAGTGGCATCACCAGCCATGCTGCCTCTTCTTCGGGCCTTAGCACATGCTCTTCCTTTGTCTCTCCCGGCCCCAGCCCTGGCCAGTTCCCACTCACCCTTCAGGTGCCAGCTTCTCTGTCCCTTCCTATAGTTACCAGACTAAGTTAGAGGCCTCTCTTCTGCTCCATAGCACCTGGTGCTCCATCACTGCACTTGTTCCACTGTATTGAAATTGTTTTACATGTCTGGGCAGAGGCTATGTCTTCTCTTACATTCTCACTGTCTAGTACTAGACAATTAGTAAGTGCTCAATAAATATAGTATGTGTGTAATGAATAAGTCAAAAGTGCTTTCATTTCTAGGTTCTTATTTGATCCTCACAACAGCCTTGTGATATAAGCTCCCCAGGCCTTACTGTGACCTCATTTTGTATATAAAGACGCTGATACTCAGAGAAGCTAAGCAACTTGCCAAAGCTCATGCAGAGAGCCAGGATTTAAACTAGTGTCCCTGCCCTGGCCAGCATTGCTCAGTGGTTAGAGCATTGGGCCACACACTAAAGGGTCATGGGTTTGATTCCTGCTCAAGGGCACATACCTGAGTTGCAGGTTTGATCCCTCGCCCTGGTAGGGGCACAGGCGAGAGGCAACTAATCGATGTGTCTCTTTCACATCGATGTTTCTTTCTCTCTCTCCCTCTTTTCCCCTTCCCCATTCCTTCAACTCTCTAAAAATCAGTGGAGAAACTATCCTCAGATGAGGATTAACAACAACAACAAAAAGATCTAAAATATATAGGAGAGAAATAACAACAGAATGTAAAGAATAACTTAAGTGTATGCTACTGTCAAAGATTTAACTCCAGGGGAGAAAAGGAGAAACATCTGTAACAAAAATAAATTAATAAAAATAATTTTTTTAAAAAAAGATTTAACTCCAGGTAATAAAAACATTTTTTAAATAAATAGACTAGTGTCCCTCAGGCTTGAATGTTCAGTTTACTGTTTTGTTTTTATAATCTTCCTTTTTAAAAAATAGCATTTAAAAAGATAACAATTAAAATAGTATTTTTTTCAAGATTATAAAAATATCTTTAAGGCACCAATATTCCTGAAATGATTTTTCTTCACCAAATGTCGAATTTCAATACAGAGAAATCTAGATATGATTTTTTTAAATGTATAATCAGATTCTAAATTCTGTGCATTGGAGAAAAATTGTGTATTTTATTGAAAAATAAAATGTGATTGAAATAATAATAGCATAAAAAGTAATAAATTTTATTGTATACAATTTGGAGAATACTGAAAAATATAAAGAATAAAATAAAAATAACCCCAGCATGCAGAGAAAACTACTATAGATTCTAAATGGCCTGGACTTGAACAGACAGCATTGAGTGTGAATCCCAGGTAAACCATTAATTAGATATTTGGCATTTGGTAGATAATTTAACCTCTGAGCCTTAGTTTCTTCACTTGAAATATGGTGAATTATTTACCATTTAGGATTATTGTAAGAATAAAGATAATGTATAGAAATACCTGGCACATAGTAGGCACTCTTTCAAATTGTGGTAGTATTAACATTTTTGTGTATTTTTGTTGTTGTTTATTCTCATGCAAGAAAGAGACAGACATCCATGTGAGAAAGATACATCGAGTGGTTGCCTCCCGCATGACCCTGACCGGGGCCAGGGATCAAACATACAATTCATGTATGTGCCCTTGACTGGGAATCAAACCCAAGACCCTTTGGTCCATTGACCAACACTCTAACTGCCGAGCCAAATCAACCAGGGCATATTTTTGTGTATTTCTTTCTTTTTTTTTTTTTTTTCTTTATTGATTTTAAAGAGATAGGGAGAGAGAGATAGAAACATCAATGAGAGAGAACATCGATTGGCTGCTTCCTGCATGCCCCCCACTGGGGATTTGGCCTACAACCCAGACATGTGCCCTGACCAGGAATCGAACTGGTGACCTCTTGGTGCATGGGTCGATGCTCAACCACTGAGCCACATTAGCCAGACACGTTTTTGTGTATTTCTCAAATATGTTTTTATTGATTTTTTAAAGAGAGAGGAAAGGAGAGAGAGAGAGATAGAAACGCCGATGTGAGAGAGATGCATCTATCTGCTTCCTCCTGCATGCCCCCTACTGGGGATCCAGCCTGCAACCTGGGCATGTGCTCCCACCAGGAATCAATCCAGGACCTCTCAGTCCATGGGACGATGCTCAATCCACTGTGCCACACCAGCCAGACTTGTGTATTGCTATATAGTCTTTCTACTCTGTTGTGTGTGCATACACGTATGTTTTTTGAAGCACATTTATAAGTATATATATATATATTTTTTTGTACAGATAGAGTGGGAGGGAGAGAGAGGAAGGGAGAGAGAGAGAGAAACATCGACGTGAAGGGACACATCGAGTGGCTGCCACCCGCACAACCAACCAGGGCCGGGGACAAACTGCAACCGAAGCACGTGCCCTTAGCGGGAACCGAACCCGGGTCTCTCCGGACCGCAGGCCGACGCTCTAACCGCTGAGCCAAACTGGCCAGGGCATATAAGTATATTTTTAAACCTATTCTGTAGATGAGGAAACTGAGACTGGAAGAGGCGAAGGAACTTGGACTTGGTGCTATGTCTGATACTATCTGAACCAGGACTCAGTTTGGTCTCCTGATGCCAAACCCATATGCCTTCCCTGTCAGCAGTGTGCTTCCCCCTGCTAGCTCCACTTCCATCAATACACATATGGTGGACCACCGAGCCCTGCCTAAGACAAAGGCAAGGGCAGAAGGTAGTGAAAATGCTAGGAGCCTCCATAGCAGCTGCGTTCAGTTTAAAAACGTAAAAGGAGTGTTCACTTCCTTCTCTGTTATTTCAGATACATTGACCAATCCTATAGCAAAGACCAGGCTTCTTGATAGAAAGTTAAAACCTTTTGGGTCACAGTGCTCTTTTTGAGAGGGAGTTTATCAGGGAATTCATGAAACTAAACAGCCTTACTCTGTGTTATCTACAGGGCAGACAGAAGCGTACCCTAATTTCTTTCAGTGTGTGCACTAGGCACTTAAAGGGCCTGGGTGACATGCACTATACCTAACACCTCATGTGTGCATCATTTTATATCATTTTTATTTCAGTGCAAGTTTTCTGATGGTATATGTCTGACTTATAGGAGATGCAGAGATGAGCAGGTAACAGTCTGGCCTTTAGGAATATTGAGGAGATCTTAAGGCCACATAGAATCAATCAGTGCTATAATAGAGTTTCCAGCAGGGAGTTAGGGAGCAGAGGATGGAGCTCTAACTTCTAGTTCAGTGCAGTAACCTCATCTTATTTGCATAGTGTCTAACAGTGTTTGCACATACCTTAACTCATTCAAAGGGATGGAGACTTGAAATGGGTTTTAATGGCTGAGAAGAATTCTTAGGCCAAAGGAAGGAGGTGAGCCAAGGACCTGCTTCGTTGTGGAACCTTGCCCTCTGAAGAAGCTTTTATCAAGTGATTGCATGCATAATAAATTAAGACCCCCAAAGACCCTGCTGTGGACTGACCGTGATAAAATAGAGTATGGACTGGCTCCCGAGAGGAAGTGTCAACCCCTTGGAAAGATTATGACGCCTCTCCCTTCCCCCTCCCCCAGTGTAAACAGGAAAGTTAGGTATGTTTTTTCACTTCACTGTCTTCCTACATTTTTTTCTTCCTAGTTTCTGAAACAACTCTCCTTCAACAAGTTCTGTTTCCAAGGAAAGTCTTAACCATTTGTCCCTTCTGGCGTACCCTCTTCCAATGAAATCCATGCAGAATAGACCAGGTACTCTATCTTTTTGTGTGTGAAGCTATAAAATCTAATACTGAGTGTGCTGCGGTGCTCAGAGGTATGCTTCTTCCACAAGAGGCTCCCTCAGCCCTGCTGTGGTAAAAACCAAGTATAAATTGCGGCTAACAGGGTTTTCTAGCTAGAGTCGTAAGAATGTTTGAGCATCCCCCGTGAATTATAATGCCGCCAGCCCTCTGGCTCCTCTTCTACATTGCCTGCCTGTTGGCTGTTTTGCTTGTCCTTAGGCCTTCCATCAGTGTATGGGCAGGGGAGGGGAAGAGAAAGAGAAGTGAATCCAAAATCTGTCCAGTCTGCATTGGGCTTGCAGAGCTGATGAGAAAATATTTGGGGACAAAGGTTGAAACTGGACTGCATGCAGAGGCAGAGCAAGAGGGACAGTGGTCCCTCCTTCTCAGTCTGCTGTCCTAGTGGTCAGTGCCCCCTCCCTGAGCTCCTGAAGATGAGGGACCCTGTTTTATTACTATAGGATTTCTCACTATGTTGAACAGCTTTTTTTTCTTTTAATATACGTTGGTGAGGGTGGATATTTGGGTGCTGATATTGAAGTTAAATTTTTTTTTTTTTATCCTTACGCGAGGATATTTTTCCTTTTTTTTTTTTTTTTTGTACAGATAGAGTGGAAGGGAGAGAGAGGAAGGGAGAGAGAGAGAGAAACATCGACGTGAAGGGACACATCGAGTGGCTGCCACCCGCACGACCAACCAGGGCCGGGGACAAACTGCAACCAAAGTACGTGCCCTTAGGGGGAACCGAACCCGGGTCTCTCCGGACCGCAGGCCGACGCTCTAACCGCTGAGCCAAACTGGCCAGGGCTGAAGTTAAATTTTTTTAATTCATAAACTATATCTTGTGCTTGAAGCTGCTGGCCAGAGTAATATTTTGAGATTCTCTGTGGATTCCTTTTATTCCTGTGTTAATTGAAGTATAATTGAAAATCCGTTGTCATCAGATCTTCACAGTGGAAGGAAGAATGCACCTAAATTGAGCTGTCAGACACTTGGCTGCCTAGCCATGCTTTCTGGATTATGGTGTAGACAGGGGCCGTTGTCCTGTGTGCTTTCTCCTAATGGCTGTCGTGTACTTGCTTCTGAGAACAGTGCATAGAAGACGTGCATCGGCTCTAATCAATCTTCCTGAGCAGACTTGCCATTTCTCTGATCGTGTTCAGCTAGGGTCCTCTGAGAAGAGAGTGGGCCTTTTCCCTCAATGGGCAAAGAGCCAGCTTCCATTTCAAAATCTCTCAGAAAAAAAAAAAAAATTTTCAACAACCCAGAGCCTGTGTTTATTGAAGGTTGGTCTAAAAGTCTCTCACATTGTATGCCCCATCAGCACTCGAGTGCCTCTATTTTAGAAGGATGTAAAGGTTTAATCACCCTGGTGGGGATTTAGACCCAGAGACTTCAGAGAAATCTTATTATTTCTAACTGCAGGCAAAGAGTATTAAGGCTCCACTCTGGATCAGGGGCATGACATGTTCTATAAGTAATTTATCTTTACCAGGGGAAGGCCCTTACTAGAGTGTCTTAGAAACAGTACTACGATTTGGTACTGGCTCATTATTTCTCCTTTTCTCTTTCCCCTTCTCAGTCTTCTGCTTATTCTTTCTATCCCTACTTTTTCCTGTCCAATCTATCCAATGTCCAAATTTCTACCTCCCAAATTTTTCCTTGAACAAGGGATGCTAGGTGCTTGCCAGTGAGAGATAATAATGCTTTTTCAATAAATGACCTCATCCAACAGCCTGTCAACTGCAGACTTCTGAATGGAGCCTACCTCTCAAATAAGGAGCAGAGGAGGGAAGAGGATGCTCTGGCTCCATAGGCACTCGTCTGTGCTCTTAGACATGAAGTAATTTAATCCTCATACCCATCCCCTGCCCCATTGCACCTTCCCAGAGGCAGTTTCCACTAAAGGCCTTTTGAATCCCTGTGCACATCCAAACAGGGATGTTACTAATCGTATGATTTCATTTGCATGCACCCTCTCCCAGCCTCACCTTCCTTCCTGCTTTCTGGTGCTGAAGCTAGAGGATGTCACAGGTGGGACGCTGCTTATGGATTCATTGTTCTGTTTGGGGGCTTAGTTTGATAGGTAGCAGATCTAAATCCTTGTGCTAATGAGCTTGGTTAAAGCAGGCTTCGCTATCCTCTTTTAATCTAGCCTGTCTGTCTGAGTTTCTTTTCCCAGTTAATGATCTTCTATAATGGTTTTGCCTTTAGTTTTGCCTCCTGGGTCAAAACAAATCAATAGTCCTCGAAGATTATTTAAAAACCATCAGTGTGAAGCTCCTGGGTCTCCCCCTACCAACCCCCTGTTTTATTTCCTTCTGGTTGAATTTTCAGCTTGATCAGTACAGTGATATTTTCCTTACATCTCCACTTTTCTCCTAGAGATGGGCAGCAGTGAACCCCTTCCCATTGCAGAAAGTGACAAGAGGAAGAAGAAGAAGCGGAAGGCCCAGGCCACTGACTCCTTGCCCGGAAAGTTTGAAGGTTGGTCACATAACTCTCTTAGATCAGGGCCTATGGCTCCCCAAGCATGGGGGGAGCTTCCTGAAAGCCTGTGGGCCTAGATCACAGGATCTGTGTTATCTTAGAGCCAGTTCGTGGTTACGTGTACGATAGGGATGAAAGATAGGGGTGCAAGAGTGAGTTTACACAAAGGAGTGGCAGAGAGAGCAAGCAGAAATGGGAAGAGTCCCTGGGTGATGTTCAGGCTTCCTCTGAATAGTCAGGGAACAGAAAGACCTATCTGTCAGAGTTGTACATGCAATGAGATTGCCTGGTGCGTTTCATCCCCTTTCGGATGTGATCTTCCCTCAGCTGTTCCTGGAGGGGCTGCTGAGAGGTAGAACAACCATGTAAGGGGAAGAGAGGGCTATGGCTGTAAATGAAACTTCCGTCTTCTGTAAGCAGAGAACTTGACTCTCAAGAGTTTGCAGCTACTTGTGCTGTAAGAGTTTGACACCATTTTAAGAGTGAAGGTGGCGTTCAGGGGACACAATGTCGGTCATCAAACATTTTGAACACTGTGAGAGGCACCAGGCTCAGTGCTGGCCCTGTTATCACTGGCATGTGATGGGTAAAGTGAATCACTGGCCGCTTCTGCAGAGGACTGGAAGGATCAGTAGTTACTCCTAGTAGTGACATGGCCCTCTCTCTATTTTGTATCTTTTGTAAAATCTGAAATAGCTTCCCCTCATGGTCCCTTTTTCCAGTACTGCAGATGGACTAATGAATTGATTGTTTTATGGTATAGTTCTAGTGACAAGCCCTTTATGAGTCAGGAATATTGGACCTCCAACCACTGACCTATTCTGACATGTGTAAAGGCTAAGATTAAAGTGTCTATTGTGAGTAAAGCATGTTATTTAAAATACTTATAAAAAACAGTATATATTCTTTTCTTCAACTTTTTATTGAACTTATTAGGGTGGCATTGGTTAATAAAATGATATAGGTTCAAGTGTACAATTCTATAACACATCATCTCTATATTGTATTATGTGTTCACCATCCAAAGTCAAGTCTCCTTCTGTCCCATTTATCCCCCTTTACCCTCTTCTATCTCCCCCACCCTCCTTTCCTTCTTTTAATCACCATACTGTTGTCTGTCTATGAGTTTGTTTTCTGCTTAACCCCTTCACCTTTTTCACCTAGCCCTCCAACCCCCCTCCCCTCTGATAGCTATCATTCTATTTTTGGTATCAATGAGTGTTTCTTTTTTGTTCGTTTGTTTTGTTCATTAGATTCCACATATAAGTGAAATCATATGATATTTGTCTTTCTCTGACTGACTTATTTCACTTAGCATAGTACTCTCCAAGTCCATCCATGCTGTCCCAAAAGATAAGGTTTCTTTTTTTTTTTTTTAAAAGCTGAGTACTATTGTGTAAATGTTCCATAGCTTTTTTTGTTAATCCTCACAAGAGGATATTTTTTCCACTGAGATTTAGAGAGAGTGGAATAGGGGGAGAGAAGGAGAGAGAGAGAGACATTGATGTGAGAGTGACACATCTGTTGGTTGCCTCCTGCACATTCCCAGGGCCAGCAATTGAACTTGCACCCGGGTATGTGCCCTTGACCAGGAAGTGAACCTGTGACCCTTCCATGTGCGGGCCGACATTCTAATCATTGAGCCACACTGGCCAGGGCTGTATCATAGCTTTTTAAATCCATTTATCTACTGATGGGCACTTGGGCTGCTTTCAAACCTTGGCTATTGTAAACAAAGCTGCAATGAACATAGAGGTGCAGCAATGTGTATTCTTATAAACAGCTGCAAGACCAACACATGAGTAAGCAGGGTTTTGTCTGTTTGCTTGTCTTTAACTCAATCAGTGTATGGGGTGGGGCTGGGGGTAAGGGAGAAGGGATGGACAAGAGTCACAAGGTTTCCATATCAACAGGTCTTGCTCTTTCAAGGAATATAAGAGTATTTCCTGTTACTCATGGATGGCTTGTGTAGTTACAGGGCCTCTCATGACTCAGAGTGATAAAATCTGATTTCATGGTTAAAAAGTATTCTGTTCAGTTTGTGGGTTTAAATGCTAGGCTGCCTCAAGAGGAAGAAGCTGAGGAATGGAGGCCAAGGGAGAAGGCGGCCAGCTCAGCAGAGACCATGATGGAGCTGTGGCTTCTTTTGGAAGGGCTCAAAGAGCTTGTGCTATTTGTGAGCTTGGGCAGGTCACCTAAATTTTTTTTCAACCCAAGCCTATTACTCTGTGAGAACCACTCTGACTCAACACCCTAAAAACCTCGAGGCATCCGTTTGCATTTATGTCTGTCCCCTGTTTCCTGTAGGTGACTTCTGGAAACTTCTCTAAAACCTCCAGTGAGTTCCTTTGTGTGCGGTATAGAATAAAAGTGTTTTATTCACCTTCCTATCACCAATGCCTAGCACAGAACTGGGCACATAGTGGGTGTTTAGCAAATGAGTCCATTCAAATTACACCCCTCCTATGAGGATCCCCCAGATTCTCTGAACAGATAGCCATAACCTTTCCCTTCCCTGACTCCTCTTTATTGTGTCTTGTCTCTCTATGGCAGTATTTCCCACTGTCTGATTCTTTCTGGGCTTACTTGTATATGTATCTGCCTTCCCCATTGGACTGTGATTCTCAAAGAGCAGGGACTATATTTCGTTCCTCACTCTGTCCTTATTATGAGTCAGATATGCTGTCTGACACATAGTAGGTGCTCAGGAAGTAGGTGTGCTGAATTGAAACCCTCTCACTGACCTCATCTCTAAAATGGGGAACAGGATCCATGTGGTCTACTTGTTGAGTAACTGAGTCCTGAGATGGCCAGGAAAGCTAATGTTCTTCCTGGTCACTGTGCTGTGGAGTCATTGTGTGACTGTGTTGTCAGACCGAGGAAGCTGAATGACAGAAGTTCTGCGTTCCATCTTAACTTGAAAAGGATGGCTCATTTTGTTATTTCTCTCATCCATTTCATCTCTAGATATATACAAGCTGACCTCTGAATTGCTTGGAGAGGGAGCCTATGCCAAAGTTCAAGGTGCTGTGAGCCTGCAGAATGGCAAAGAGTATGCTGTCAAAGTGAGTGTCTCATCTGGATGCTAGGCTTTACTTTGCAAATAGTCAGTCCTAAACCAAATAAATTTTATATTCCCCTATATGGTGGCTCAATAAGAATTGGGGCTCCAAAGCTGTATTCACTGGATTCAAATGATGGTTTCTCCACTTGCTGTGTAACATTAGGCAAGTTACTTAACCTCTCTGTCCTTCAGTTTTCTCATCTGTAAAATAGATGTAATAATAGAACCTATATAATATTATTGTGAGGATTAAATAAGTTAATAGGTGTAAAGGGCTTAGAACAATACCTAGCTCATAGTAAGTTGCTGCTTATTTATTTATTTATTTAATCCTCACCCGAGGACATTTTTTCACTTTTTGTTCAGATAGAGTGGGAGGGAGAGAGAGAGAGAGAAACATAGACGTGAAAGGGACACATCGACTGGTTGCCACCTGCATGACCCAACCAGGGTCAGGGACAAACTGCAACCGAGGTACATGCCCTTAGCAGGAACTGAACCTGGGTCTCTCTGGACCACAGGTTGATGCTCTAACCTCTGAGCCAAACCGGACAGGGCTAAGTTGCTTCTTATTAATCTGACAAATGAAGTTAGTTTCAGGGAGTAGACAAATATATTTGTAATTAGATGACCTACGTACTTGAATCTCTGTTTTGACAACCTACTACTATTTAATTTTGGGAAGTCACTGAACCTCCTTGAGCCTCAGTTCCCACATCTCTAAAATGAAGATGACAATACCTGCCCTTCCTGTCTCGTAGATTGGTTATGAAAATAAAAATAAAAATGAGCTGGTATTAGTAGAAACAGTTTACAAATGTTGTCATGATAATGAGGATGGGAGCACTCAGCTCTGGGGCAGGAGAGGTGGCTTCTAGCTGTGTGACCTTGGAGTGGCTCACTGCATCCTTCTCTGCTTTCATTTGCTGACCTCCTGTGAAGAAGAGATGGGTCTAGGGCAGTGGTTCTCAAAGTGTGGTCTCTGCACCATGGTCTTTGTATTTTTACCAAGCTTCCAAGTGATTCTAATACCCACCAACATTTGAGAAATACTGATCTAGAAACAAGGTCTTAAATCCAGGGGAGCAATTAAACTTATTTCAAATCATTCACCTGAGCCACAAGGTCTAAGCGCTGCCTCATATGGGCAAACCCAGCCAAATTGACTCCTGAAAGAAGTGTTTGTCCGTTTGTTTAACCAATCAGCCATAGTCCCAGCTGCGGATTTATAAAGGAGAACACTTCCGCTAAGCCTTGTTCCTCTTTGCTGGAGTATTGCTTCATATGGTAACAAAAGCACTGCCTCAGTTTTTTTTTAGAAACAGATCAGTATAAATTACAAAGTGATTTTTTAAAAATATGCCTAAGTGTGCTAAAATCTATAAATGTCCATTGATTTTCAAAAGTCTGAATATGTACATTTATGGATGACAGACTTATTTATTCAAAGTTGGATCACAAGAGGAAAACCAGGCCCATCCTACATTCCCCTGGCATCTTTGGGCAAAGATAGACCTACCTGGCTTGGCAATTCTTGGATTTCAGCCATTCTGCCCATGTCTCATGTCTCTCATGTTCCTTGAAAACTCCTTAGAGATGGGCTGCTTCTACCCACATGGCTCCACAATACTTGGTTTGATTAGGGCTTTCCCTGCCAGCATCCAACTAATAAATACTAGAGTCTCAGGGTGGGAATGGAATTTCAAGATAATCTAGTCCTGAATTTCCTCTCTAACTTCTCAAATAGTTGTCCCATGTTCTGCTCCCCCATCTCTAGTAGTAGGAGCACATTACCTCCTCAGAGAAAATTGCTGGTTAGCTTTCCTGCTAGAAAGTTCTTCCTGACTTTGATCTGAGCTGTTTTGTGAATGAATGAGTTGAATAGCTTCTGTACCCTACCACTATACCTCTCTGTGCAGAAAATGGGTCCAGGGGTTTACTAACAGACAGACTTATTTAGAAAATTACATTGGTCCTGGATGTTTGTGCTGAGACATATTGGAGAAGTTTGTAGTGTTCTACACAGCATTTTTGGAGTAAAGGAACAGGGTGTCATCATCTGGTGCCCACTTGTCACACGAGACTGCAAAGCAGAGCCAGCTCTGCAGAACACGTGCCCACAGGCTCTGCTTACAGTGGGTTGGGGCTCTGGATGGGTCCGCAGAAATGTTCAGAGTCAGCCAGTCCTTGTGTAAACCACCTGCTCATCTGTTGGCTCCCCTGTTCCTTCAGTCAGTACTTGCCAAGCATCTTCAAATATAGGTGGGGAGGGGAGCAGCCCATAGTCCTATAGGAGAGACAGGGCCTCTAGGTTCTCTGAGAGAAGCTGACAGGATATAGGCAGGTACAGGATAGATAAGGGCTTCAGAGGCAGCTCTGGGCATGAATTCCAGTCCTGACACCTTGATCAGAGCTGTGGGCAAAATGTTTTACCTCTTCCTAACTTTTGGGATTGTGTTATAAGGGTTAAGAGATTATGCACTTAAATGACTTAATACAGTGCTTGCCAAAGGGTCAATTCTCAGGACTGCAGAGGGGGCATCTGAATGGGCCTCAGAGCTTTAGTTTCCTGCCCACAATGCCCTTTGTCCCCCTTGCTCTTCCTCCAGCACTCGGAGGTCTTTCCATGGAGCTTGTAAATTCTTACCCAAAAGGCAGAAAGAGATACTCTTGGAGTAAAAGCTGGGTAAAGATAGCTCTTTGTCTGACTGACTGCCTCAGTCTCCCCTGGGCAGCTGGAGACAGCCCTCAGAGGCTTGTGCTTGGCCAGAGTCAAACAGCCCAGCCAGGCTGGAAAGCCCTCAGGCCAGTCTGCCTCTTTGTTGACAGAGCCACAGGGCCTATGTCACAAAATCCTACTCTAGACTTTTGCTTGAAACTGATTTGGGCTAAATTTGGCCTTTTGTTCCACCAGAGGGTTCCTGCTGAGGGGTGTTTTGAGGTCAGGTGGATGTATTTGACAGATGTTATTCTTCCCACAGATCATCGAAAAACAAGCAGGACACAGTCGGAGTAGGGTATTTCGAGAGGTAGAGACGCTCTATCAGTGTCAAGGAAATAAGTGAGTATAGTGTTGGGTTAGTTGCTGCTTCTCTGAGGGGGCGCTTGGCTGCAGAAAAAGAAGTTATTTCTCCTAGCTCTCCTTCCCCTACAACTGCGTATAACTCCTTCTGTCTTTCAATATTTAAAAAAAGGGAGAGGAGAAATAACAGCAACAAAGAAGCTATCTCCTGTTTAGGCTGAAATACTGTAAATATCAGCAATTCAGGCACATTAGAAGAGTGAGCAATCTGAATTAGTGCCTGGGGAAAAAAGAGGGTTTTATTTCTTTCAAGTGCCTACAGAAATTAGGCTGAGTGTTGCCTTGTGGGAACCTTTAGGAACCTGCTTTGATTCATAGATGAGAATGATAAGAACTATTAAGAATACTTGCTGCTGTTTTCTATTCCTAGGATAGTCACATATGTGCAGCTACTACTGAGGGTCCTGAGACCTGGCCTAACCCTCTGCTTGACCACTGGGCCAAGGTGCTCTCTAGCCCCCTCTTAGTCTGCTCACCACCAGCTCCAAATGAGTGGCCCTCCCGCTGTGGCTTTAAATCAGGGTCACCTCTAAGACTTCGCTTTCCCCTTTCTTTCTCTCCATGGCAGGGTCAGCAGGGAGCCAGGGGCCCGGTATTGATGGCTTTGTCATTAAGCTTGGAGGATGGGGGCTGCTGTTGATTTAACTCCAGGCACTGCCTCTACAATCTTCTTTCAAATTAGGCCATTTTGGCCATCTTATTTGGACGCCTTCACACTAGTAAAAGCCTGGTATCTCCCAAAGTGGTCAGCATTTTTTTATGAGGGACAGATTTTTATTTTCAGCCTGCAGCTTCTGAGTTCAGCATTAGAGACTCTACTTGGTTTATTTCGTTCTTTAAAAGAAAAAAAGCCCCCAACATCTCCAATATCCAGGCTGGTGACTTCCCTACTGAGTTACAAGACGACCTTGTTGGCAGAGCACAGTAATGCTCAGGCAGACAGAGAGTGCTCACCGGGGAAGGCCACAAGTGCTACGGTGGCCGGGAACACGGCCGTTTCATTAAGCAGCGCTTAGCAGTTAGGGTCTAGCGGTGCCCACGTTAGGCCCCAAGTCTATTTGACAGATGTTTCCATTTTCTCCAGGCAATGTAAATACTGCCTCGTGATTTATGGGCAAGAGGGAGGGCAAGTAATTATTTGCTGCTTGCCTCCAGGACACACACCTACTATTCAGTGTTATTAGCCGCAATTGCTTCCAGTCGGCTGCAGATTTTATTCAGTTTAATGTGACCAGGACTTTTTTATAACTCTACCTAGTGGGTTTTAGGGTTGGGGTTTGACAGCACAGACTTGGTGAAAACACCAGAGACTAAACATTATGGAAAGATAAGGTGACCTGAATCTTGCTAACACCATTGGCTGCTTCTCAAACATGGTTCTTTAATAAGCATTCTGATTTCAAGCTGATTTCTGCCCTGTTACAGGGCGTTCTATATTTTTTTCATTGTATATTTGTAAATGGGCTTTAAAATATAATACCATTTCTCCTTTTTTCCTTTTCCTCCTATTTTTCCCTATTTAAGGAACATTTTGGAGCTGATTGAGTTCTTTGAAGATGACACAAGGTTTTACTTGGTCTTTGAGAAATTACGAGGAGGTACTTACTGTTGAGTATGTGTTTGGACTTCTGATTAAGATCCAGGGTGGTGATCATCCATCATGAATCCCAGAGACTTCTAAAATGAGTCAAGCTAATAAAAAGGATGAAGGACTTAAAACTGCCCTTGATTTGGGAGAAGGGAGGCCGGAGGGAAGGATGATAATTAGCATTTTGCAGAGCTTAGAATGTCACCTGTGTGGGCATTCTATAAATGCCTTCTTATTATAATAGGGCTCATATATAGATACATGTAGTCATCAATTTATCAATCTATGTTTTGACACATTCACTATTCAACAGAATTAATCGTGGGGTGGAAGCTCTTATATACATTGAGAAGTCCAGAAGGGCTCACCAGGGGAGAGGAGGGTCCCATTGTTTAGGACACAGACCCAGGATAGGGAGGAGGCCTGAGAATGTGCCACCCTTCAGATAGAAAGGTGCCATTCTTGACCTTCACACTACTGCCATCTCCCATACACATAGTCACTGGGATGCATACTGAAGCTGCTTTTCTGACAAAGAGAAGGAGATAGAGAAGCCCTTGTCCTCCCATCACTCACCCAACCCTAGGACCACATTTGCAAGGTGAAGTTTAGGGAGGATGTCTGGAGCTGAGTGGAGGGCTACATGGAGGGGCTTGGTAGTCAAGAGACCATGCTTTAGAAACCAGCCAAGCTAAGTTTAAGTCTGGTTCCATCACTTACTAGCTGTGTGACGACAACCTTTCCAAACACTATTCTCTCATCTATAAAATAGGGATAATGATAGCACCTACCTCCTTGGAATACTTGAAGGTTAAATGAGATAATTCATGTGAAATGCTTGGCACAGTACCAGGTAAGCACTGAGGGCTTAATTGTCAGCTGTTAATATTATTGAAACAATTGGCTATGGTAGGGGCTAGCTAAGAGGTATGTAGAACGTTACACTCCACATTTCTTTTTAACAAATTTGGAAACAAGAGACTCCCTACAGTAAAGCAAACCTGAGATCTAGCCAGGAACTGGTTTTCTCAGAATGTTTCCTAGCATGTTGGGATCCCTTGACTGTTTAATCTGACAAGTGAAAGATCTTTCATCCTGTCTGTGCCAAAACCAGAGATAATAAGTAAACATGTATCATTTTTAGGACACAGGGATGACACCTTCAGTCCAGAAGTACTGGCTTCCAGTAGTGAGCATAGACCTCTTTGGAGCCAAGCCATATGTTCATGCCTGTGCCTGCCCCGCCCCGCCCACAACACTAGGACTTTGAATTATATGTTTTAATGCTACATGCAGCTGGGCTCATCTGAAACTCAGAGTGTAACTCTGTTGAGGCCAGACCCAAAGGGTAAAGGGGGTATGGTTGGCTCAGGGCAACCCATCCCCCCAACATTCAGCCACAGGTCCTCCTAAGGGGAAGTCTGCACAGGTTCTGAGGCCAGACTGGCTGGATTTAAGTCCTGATGCCACTACTTACTGATCTTGAGCAGGTTGCTTAACCATTCTTGGCTTTACGTTTACTATCTATAAAATGGGGGATAACTGTATTTTGTACATTTTGTACAGTAGCCATGAGACTAAGGCAAGCTATTTAAAGAGTATTACACAGTGCTTGGGACATAGTAACTACTCAATAAATGTTATCCAACAAAATGAACCTGGTCTTTGGGAAATTGCAAGGAGGTACTTACTGTTGAGTATATGTTTGAACTTCTGATTAAGGTCCAGGGTGATGATTCTCCATCCTGAATTCCAGAGACTTCTCAAACGAGTTGCCAACAAAATAATAACTGATAGTAATAGTAATAATAATAGGGAAAGTTGAGGGGAAAGCAGTCTTTACTTTTTTTTTAGACCTTTGTATATCTGGTGAGGGTATGACATCTCTGTTTGTAGTTTGTGCTCTTGTTTGGATCTGAGATCAGATGCAAAGGAGGAAACGTTCCTACAGAAAGGCCCAACCCCAGGTGGATTCACTTGTAGTTCTTTTTGATTCCAGAAGCCAAATGGCATTTGTATCTTTTAGTCATTTAAATAGTTGTTCTCGCTCCCTTCTGCACTCATCAGAGATAGGTATAGAAGATAGCAGTTCAGTTCTGTTCAGTAGAGGTTTATGCTGGTAGCTCCTCTGTGCCAGGAACCACACTTGGTGCTGGACATTCAGCAAGGAATAAGCCCCATCCCAAACTTGTGGACACTTGGCCTCTGAGAAGTTCTACTTAGTAGAGCCTGAAAAGGCATTCCCCTGTGTCCCCTCTGCTCCCCAGGCTCCATCCTGGCCCACATCCAGAAGCGGAAGCACTTCAATGAGCGAGAGGCCAGCCGAGTGGTGCAGGATGTTGCTGCTGCCCTTGACTTCCTGCACACCAAAGGTGAGCCAAGCCTTTGCCGTGGTGGGTGGGTTGGGCTGGCCAGCCTCTGGGGACCAAGGGAGAAAGGCAGGCCAGGGGGAGGGCTGGGCCAGGACAGCTGGCAGGCCCACCTGTGAGGATGAGGGGGAAAACCAGAGTGGCTCCAGACTTCTGATGTGGATGGTAAGTAGATGTGGAGCTATTACGAGTGATAAGGATTACAGAAGAAAGAACAGGGAAGAGAACAATGCATTTTATGTTGAACAAGGTATACATGGGTGTGTGAATTTGAATGATTTTCTTTTCCTTTCCTAATGAAGAATGCAAACCATGCATCATATAACCTTTCTGGCATAAATATTTGGGTGTTATTCCTTCTGGTCTTTTTTTTTTTCCCTCACCCGAGGACATTTTTCCATTCTTTGTTCAGGTAGAGTGGGAGGGAGAGAGAGGAACAGAGAGAGAGAGAGAAACATCGATGTGAAAGGAACACATCGAGTGGCTGCCACCCGCACAACTGACCAGGGCCGGGGACAAACTGCAACCGAGGTATGCGCCCCTAGCGGGAACCGAACCCGGGTCTCTCAGGACTGCAGGCCAACGCTCTAACCGCTGAGCCAAACCGGCCAGGGCATTCCTTCTGGTCTTTTAAAATACATCACCTACGGGCTGGGGATGAGAGCGGGGAGGAGGGTGTCAATGGGTGGAAAAGGAGGGACATCTGTAACCAAAATTAATTAATTTTAAAAAATAATAATAATAGCCCTGGCCAGTTTGGCTCAGTGGTTAGAGCGTCGGCCCGCGGACTGAAGAGTCCCGGGTTCGGTTCCGCTAGGGGCACATACCTTGGTTGCAGTTTGTCCCTGGCCCCGGCTGGGGTCTGTGGGTGGCGACCACTCGATGTTTCTCTCTCACATCAATGTTTCTCTCCCTCTCTTCCTTCCTCTCTCCCTCCCACACTATCTGAAGATAAATGCAAAAATGTCTTTGGGTAAGGATAAAATAATAATAAGAAGAAGAAAATAAATAAAATAAATCACCTATATTGGAATGATAGTATATATGTAGTTTTATATCTTGTTCACAATAAATGGAAAATGCATTTTTCTATTAACATAGTAAGTTCAAGGTATCTGTTGAACCTCACAGTGGAAAAGGGCAGGGTTGCTATTGTTTGAATTACACTTTGGTTTACAGTCTTCATTTAGGACTGATTATTTAAGAACTTTTGTAGTATATTAAATGTTTTTGCAAATTGAGTGTTTTTGCATTTTCATAAATATGTTTAATTATCACATACATTTTTTTAAAACAGTGCCATGGAAAAAATGAATTCTGGCTTTACCTTTTTACCAGCTATAATAATTCCTACCCAAAGAGTTATGTCGAGAATTAAGGAAGAATTATATCACCAACAGTAGTTAACACTTAGATAGCACTTGTTATGTGCTAGGCACTATTCTAAGCCTTTCTTTTATACTTCTTGGCTTACATAATTGTGTATGTCCTATGTGTGTATTGTATATGTACAATATAATTGGAGCATAGTGCCTGGCACATAGTACATAGTTCTTCAATAATGTTATTTCCTCCATCCTTATCTCCCACCAGGCAGAAAGCATTTTTATTCTTCATACTAATTCCTTTAAAGCATTCTGCCTGGTGGGGGTAGAGAGAAATATTTGTAACTTAGGCCTGCTACCTTCACTTCTGTAGAACTAGGCCACCTTGGTTATGAGTGCTCAGGACCACTTGTAGGCATCCTGTTCATGCACCCCACCTTGTGTCGGCAACACAGTGCAGGCTGCTGTGGCCTGGGTGCGGAGGTTCAGGTTCATGGATTCTGCCTCGCTTCCTCCAGTGGCTGGAGAGAGATCGGCAAACTGACAGTGCCCATGTTGAGGGCCTGACTTGTACATAGGATGAAAATTCCTAGAAGGGGGTGTCTGTACTTTCCACAGCATGATGAATAGCAGCGGTTCTGTTTCTGAAAGCTGGGATGCATGTAGGTAACACCTGCCTGACAAAGATTTACAACTGCTCCCCAAGCTGCCTCTGTAGATTGCAAAACTGGGTCATGCTTTTTACAAGATCCATACCTTAGAGGGGGGCAAAGGGGGCTTTATTTTTTATTTATTTATTTTTTACAAGAATGCACTAAAGGGAACAGAGGCTGGTGGTGTCTGGGAGTTCTGAAGTGCTTGTTAACATCTAGCTGGCCAGCTGCCCATGTGCCTAGAAGTTGGAGGGGATGAAAAACGATTTCCAGCTGAACTTGGCTGTTTTCTAAATAACTTCACACTGGGAAGATGAATTGGGCAAGAATGGGTCAGCTCGGAAACAAGTTCCATACTTTTAAATACTGGACACACTGCAGCTTAACCTCTGGGAAATGAACCAGAGCAGCTCGATGGCTGGTGTGCTCACAGAGGCAGGCCTATTATTACACATGGCCCTCGGTTCTCAGGCTGGGGGACGACTGGGCCATCAGCACCTATTTGGAGAGCAAGGCTCCATGTGTAGCTCATGATCCTTCTGTGGGAGCACTTGCTGTAATGGAAAATATCTTTCACTTTTAGTGCGCCGAGCTGTAGCCCGACTCAATTTGTGCAGCATGGACTGAGTTGCTCTGGGTTCTCATTCAATTAGGTGACTGATGAAGTCACTGAGCCTGCTGGAGCTCAGGTTTTTCCTCTAGTGAAGAGCCTCCAGTGGGCTGGGCCTCTGTCACCAACTAGGGAGTCGGAGGGCTGCCTGAGAAATTGATCATCCAGGGAGTTTTAATAAAGCTGACTCTGCTTTTCCCTGTTACCCAAGAATCCTCTGCTGCTTTCCAGTACTTCCAACCAGTAGCTGTTCATTTTTTGCTCAGCCTTGCAGCCCTTCTCTCTCTGGATCATACATTCTGCAGGTGGAAAGAGGAATGGGAGGTTTCTAGGTCCACCACTAGAACTCCATGGTTCTATGAATTGGTTCTTTGTCCCCGTCTTTGGTTAGAAGGTGGTTTTCCCAAATATGCTTTTTTGGCCCAGTGGGTAGCCTTTAAGCCCTCATGCGGTCAGCTGCTGTCTGCAGTCTCCTTCAGGAGGGCTGGCCAAAATGCAGGGGGTAAGAGGGCTTAAGAACAGCACCGTGGGCCAAAGCTGTCTTTGTTGTGCTTCTGGCAGGACTGCCGTGGATATGCGGAGCAGGAGAGAAGGGAATTGGACGAGCTTTGGGAGATTTGTTCGCTAACACCCGATCCTCTGAACATTAAGGAAGTCCCACTGAAGGAATCTTTTTTTTTAATCGGCCACATAGGAAGAAATGAGGTAGAGCAGTCTCAGCCCCCTGAGATGCTCTTAAACAAGGCACTCATTATTTCTGCATTGCTGTTCCAAGCATGGCTGTTTGCAGAGCTCTTTGCTCTGCTTCGTATTATGCTTCTTATTCTTGGTTGTCCCTGCAGTGCTGAGAGGTAGGCTGGCTGGGATTCATTTAGCCCTTCTTATCCCTGCCAGACTTCTAAAGCTTCTTGCATAAAAGGAACTTACAGATTCAACAGTGCTTTTGGTTTGTCTCTGGTTACTTCTGCCTCTTGCAGCTCGTTGACTTTTTAATGTACCATAATTGGGAATTAATCTGCGAACAACAGCATTTGGGAAAAATTAATTGTGTGTGCAATGTTTGATAATTATGTGCTTATGTTAACCATTTCCTTGCTCTTTGTCATTTCAGGCATTGCTCACCGGGATTTGAAGCCAGAAAATATATTGTGTGAATCTTCAGAAAAGGTATTTAGGGCCCCACTTCAGATATTACAGTGTTTGCACTGATGGGGGAAGCCACCCTTGCTGTCAGTATAGGTTGTTAGCAGTCCTCTCAGCCTCTGGTACCAACATGAACTGATTATTATGGACATGTGAGAACGTACCTAATGTGTAGTGTTTCTGTATTCCAGGTGGGCTTACTCCTTGTCCCTTCTTTGCTGTTTTCAGCAGTGGGATTGGCTTAAGCCTGAGAGTTTGTAAAATATGAGACCCACACAAAATGAATGTTTTCTAGACCAATACACCTACCTTTAGAGCAGTTGATGGGAGTCATAAACCACAACTTAATCTTATCTGAAGCAAATCTCTGCCTATAAATGATGTTTATATCATGGTATACATGTCACTACCAGTGATAATTAGGAAGCAGGTTCTCAAAAAAGGTTTCTGTTTCTATTTTGGTTGTCTATTAAAAAGAAAACACTTATACTTGGTGTTGAACAAATCCCATCTATTTCAGGCCTTCTCCTTCAACTCAAACTACTAGTAAATGGAAGTGTTTGCATTTCCATAGGCATGTATGAATTTGATGAATTCTGTTTGTTAGAATGGTGGTTTTGATGGCCCTCGGTCATACTTCTATGTGTGTATATGTGTGCGTATGCATGAACACGTGTGTCTTGGTCTGAATTAAGGGACAGCTCATACATAAGCAATGACCGTGAGTGAATATGTGAGTTAACTTGGTACTTACAACTCCTGTGGGGAATAGTCATGTATTAGCTCCAGTAAGATCTTGGTGCCTTTCTGTCAGGGGCTCTGACATTAAACTATATAATTTATCATTATGATTATTAGTAATAATTATAGTTAAAAATGTTTAGTGCTCACAGTGTGCCAGCACTTATTTAGTATTTATAAAGTTTCATGAGATAGATACTATTATCATCTTCATTTTATGAATGAGGAAACTGAAACTTAAATTAAGAAATTTGCCCAAAGTCACTGAGCTGATAAGTAGTAGGACATAGATTAAAACCCAGGTAGCCTGACCCAGAACTCTATGGGTGTTCTGCACTTCTCTGTTACGTCACCTGTGGTTTACGTTGTACTTCCATGCTCTTTGCTCCATCTGATCCTTGTGGCATGGATTTGTTGCCTTTTACTATGGTTGGAAAACTAAAATTAAGAGAAACTGCATGCCAAAAGACATTATCAAGAAAATTTTTAAAAGATAAAGGAAGGTATAAATAGATAAATAGTGTCAAAAGGAGACTTGACTTTGGATGGTGAACACACACTAACCATACAGATGATGTATTATAGAACTGTACACTTGAAACCTATATAATTTTATTAACTGATATCATCCCAATAAATTCAATAAAATGTTTTTAAAATTTTTTTTCTTTATTGATTTTAGAGAGAGAAGAGGGAGAGGGAGAGAGAAATAGAAACGCTGATGAGAGAGAACATCAATTGGCTGCCTCCTACATGCCCCCCACTGGGGATCGGGCCCACAACTTGGGTATGTGTCCTGACCGGGAATCGAACTGGTGCATGGGTCAACACTCAACCACTGAGCCGTACCGGCCAGGCCAATAAAATTTAAAAAAATAAAAATGAAAGGATAACCCACAGAATGAGAGAAAAAAATTGCAAATCATATAACATAAGGGTTTAACATCAAAATCTATAAAGTACTTCTAACATCAAAACACAATCCAATTAAAAATGGGCAAAGGTTGCCTGACCGGTGTGGCTCAATGGATTGAGCATCGTCCCATGAACTGAGAGGTCCTGGTTAGATTCCTGGTCTAGGCACATGCCTGGGTTTCGGGCTCAATCCTCATTGGGGAACATGCAGGAGGCAGCCAATCGATGTTTCTCTTTCTCTCTAAAAAAATCAATAAAGCCCTGACCGGTTTGGCTCAGCAGTTAGAGCGTTGGCCTGGGATCCAGAGAGACCCGGGTTTGGTTCCTGCTAAGGGCATGTACCTCGGTTGTAGTTTGTCCCCGGCCCTGGTTGGGTTATGCGGGTGGCGACCACTCGATGTGTCCCTTTCATATCGATGTTTCTCTCTTTCTCTCTCTCTCCCTCCCACTGTATCTGAACAAAAAAATCAATAAAAACATTTTTAAAAAACGGGCAAAGGACTTGAATAGAGACATTTCTCCAAAGAAGATATACAAATGACCAATAAGCACATAAAAAGATGCTCAACATCCTTAGCCATTAGGGAAATGCAATGAGATACCACCCCTCACCTACTAGAATGGTTATGATAAAAGAAATTTAAAAAACACCAAGTGTTGATGAGGATGTGGAGAAATTGGAACCCTTGTTTGTATATTGCTGATGGGAATGTAAAATGATGCAGCCACTGTGAAAAACAGTTTGGCAATTCCTCAAAAAACTAAACATAGGATTACCACACTACTCAGCAATTCTACACCTATGTATATACCCAAAAGAATTGAAAATAGAGACTTGAACTTGAAACCATTGTTCATTGCAGCATTATTCACAATAGCCAAAAGCTGGAAACAACCCAAGTGTCCATCAACAGATGAATGGATAAACAAAATGTGGGCATATACATACAATGGAATATTGCTCAGCCATAAAACAGAATGAAGTTCTGACACATGCTACAACATCAGTAAACCTTGAAAACATTATGATGAGTGAAATAAGCCAGACACAGAAGGACAAATATTGTGTGATTCCACTTATATTAAATATCTGGAATAAATTCATAGAGATGAAAAGTAGGTTAGATGTTACTAGGGCTGGGGATGGGCAATTGGAGAGTTACTGCTTAGTAAATACAGAGTTTCTGCTTGGGATGATGGAAAAGTCTGCACAACAGTGTGAAGTTCATTAATGCCACTGAATTATACACTTAAAAATGGCTTAACTGGCATATTTTATGTTATATATATTTGTATTATGATCAATACATATATATTTTTTATCATAATAAAAAAGAGGCTAAATGGGAAAAAAAGAAAAGAAGAAAGAATGTTAGAGAAAGGAAGGGAGGGAGGAGAAAAGAAGAGAGGGAGGAAAAAAAGGAAAGAAGAAGCAGTTGGGACTTGTCCAGGCTCCCCCAGCAGGTAAATGTCTGAGCTGAGACTCATAGAACCAGCATTTTTGACTCACTGTGCTGCTCCCACCACACAGGCCATTCTCATGCATGCACACACACAGACAGCCCTTCTGCTTGGCTCCAGGGATGACTCATGCTGTCTGTGGTCTCGGGCGCAGCATCCAGTTCCGGGCCTGGCTATGTCGATGCTGCCTGGAGTGTCCAGCCATTCCAGTTTGCTTTGGCCTGAAGGGTTTCCTGAAACGCAGGACTTACAGTGCTTAAATCAACAAAGTCCCAAGCCAGCAAAGTTGGTCACCCTAAGCCACCTGAGGTGGTCAAGGGTTTTTTTACTCATAACTCCTTTGCCCTCCACTGAATGGTCTGCAAGGAGCATCCCAGGAATACATACTAACTTCCCTAACTTGTGTTGCACCCTGTACCTTTGTTTGTTGGCAACAGTTCCATAGGTTTGCTACTTGTCGTACACTAAAGTCACAGTAGTCTGAACCACACAGTGCACGTTTTCTCTTAGTTGGGAAATACGGAAAGAGCATGGGGAAGAGGACACCTTCGGATAAATCCTCAGGTGATGGTTAATTAACCCGAGGAGAGTAAGCATGACCTGACAGGTAAAGCTGGGTTACAGTGTGGCAGCCACTAACTATGCACCCACAGAGTCACCTTGGTCTCCTCATGCCCGTTGATTTCTTATATTTGTAACCTTCACTCTCTGCTTTCCTTTTCAGGTGTCTCCAGTGAAAATCTGTGACTTTGACTTGGGCAGCGGGGTGAAATTGAATAACTCCTGCACCCCCATAACTACACCAGAGCTGACCACTCCAGTATGTATGGCTGGGCACCCTGTGCCACCTCCTTCTGAGCTTCTGTACATTTGGGGTACCCCTGATCCAAAGCTCTGGAGTCCAGAACAGAGGACTAAGGAAAGAAAAGCTAGTGTATCTATACTTCTTCCTGCTGCCTGAGTTGTCCTTTGGCTCATTGCTCTGTCCTGATTCAGAACTCCCTGCCCCAATGCCTAGTTGCTAATGAAACTGACGTTAGAGCTTGGGGTGGCTCCTCTGTCAATGATGAGACAAATTATAAGAGCAGGCTATGCCCTGGATCCTGACCCAGGTAAAGACAGACACCATTCCCAGGCCCGCCCTTTGGCATGTGAGCACGTGATAGCTCTGAGAGTCCTGCTCCCACTGCCAGAGTCCTGGCGCATCACCTGGTGGTGGAGGATGGGGCGTGTGGCCTCTGTGGTGAGGACTGAGGTCCCGGGCTCTCTGCACAGGGGCTCACTCGGCTGAGTTGCCCTGTGGCTTCTCTCACTTCACACTCCATGCCCAGATGGTGCTGCTCGGAGCTTTTTCTTCCTAAGACATCTCTGTACATATTTGATATACTGTAATTATGATTCTATTGAGATCTGCCTGCTTTGTAAGTGAATTTCCCTAATAACCTTTTTAAAGATACGCATTTGACTATGCTCATGTCTTATTCTAAGCAACATTATTAGACATGTTTGTTTATTAGCTTTCACAACACTGAGCTACCTTGTTCTCAAAGTCATTAACTCTAATTGCCAATAACAAAGAAAATGTCCTTTCTCGACTTACCATCCTTCTATCAAATTAGTTGTGGGTGTTGGAGGTTTGTGGAAGGGTATCTCTTAGTGAACCTGAAATAACGAAGAGGGAAGCAAAAAGAATTATTTATTTTTATCAACCGTTTTCTATGCAAGGATGGGAGGAAGGAATCCTAGATCCTGGGTTTGCCATGCCTGTGCATGACAAATCCCTGTCCCAGGCTAACACTTGGTTTTGCCATCTATAAATGGGAGAAGTGGGGAGATTGGATTTGTTCTAAGAGTTCTCCTAGCTTTGATGGTTTCTTAATTCTAAATCCTTATACTTCCTTGCTCTGAGATAGCAGGGAAGCTTGGCAGGACTTCACTTTAAGAAATCCTTGCTTTATGTAATCGATCTCCACAGATCTCTCGCAGAGCCGTGCTTCTGATACCTTGAAGTACCTGCACATTAGTTGATTGGATACAGAGCTGAGGCAGGGAGAGAGTCTTGATCTTCTTAACAAAGGGTCTCTGCCTACTGGAGAAGGGCCTGAAGGATAAGAAGGTGATCTGGAACTGGTCACATGGATCCTGGCGAATGATAGGACTCAGTTTCCAGATGTTCAGTCGGCCCAGCTTTCCTAAGTGCCGTGGTGGCATCAGGCGAGCTCTCTGGCTGGCTCTCCTGACAGCTTCTTGCTCTGTAACTCTGTCTCTTGCTCAAATCCCATTACATTCTGCTCTTTGCCATCCCCGCTCCCTGTCACTAATCCTCTCTCTTCTCTGTCACTCCCCCTCCCCAACCTTGGCCCTCCCAGTGCGGCTCTGCAGAATACATGGCCCCGGAGGTGGTGGAGGTCTTCACAGACGAAGCCACGTTTTACGACAAGCGCTGTGACCTGTGGAGCCTGGGTGTGGTCCTCTACATCATGCTAAGTGGCTACCCACCCTTTGTAGGGCACTGTGGGGCCGACTGTGGCTGGGACCGGGGAGAGGTCTGCATGGTGTGCCAGGTGAGCGCAAGTCCCGGGACCCACTGCAGAGGGCCAGCAGGTGTCAGCAGGGCTGGGATGCCAAGCAGGCCTGGGTTGGGAATTGTTCCTGATCTGGAAAGGGATACATAGTGCTCCTTTCCTCTTGTGTCCAAGGGCAGCCGCAAGGTGAAATAGAGATGATTGGGCTCTTAGCCCAGCCAGTTAGAGAAGATCATACTGGAGCTGAGTCTGAAAGGATGAGTCTTGAGCCTCAGGGGAAGAGGGGCAAGAAATACAAGAAGAACAGCACAAGCAAAGACACACGAGGAGGTTTGCACGCGTAGAGGGGAGAAGAGTAGACGTATAAGGCTGACTGAGGTGGGAAATGAGGTCTGAGAGGTTGCCAGGAGCCCGTTCCTGGAGGGTCCTGTATGAAGGGCCAAGGAACCCAGGCTTTGTTCTCTAATGGATATTTCCCACGCATCACCCACCAGCCTGCCAAGTAGAATAGCCATCCTGACCACCAAGGGCACTCTGTGTCCTTTGATGATTTAGGGGAGAGTGTGGGGAGTCTGTGGCATATCCCAGCCATGAGCTGCAGCTTCAACTGAGGTCAGTTGGACTCCGGGTGACCAGATCAATGACAGGCACATCCTGCCCATTCCTGGCCAGTGTTGTCTCAAGAGAAATTTTCTTTACCTAGAACAAGCTGTTTGAGAGCATCCAGGAAGGCAAGTATGAGTTTCCTGACAAGGACTGGGCACACATCTCCAGTGAGGCCAAAGACCTCATCTCCAAGCTCCTGGTTAGAGATGCAAAGCAGAGACTGAGCGCCGCCCAAGTTCTGCAGCACCCGTGGGTGCAGGGGGTGAGTGACCCAGGGAGGGGTGGCATTCCACCTCCTCAGGCCTGCAGCATGGCCATGAGGAAGCTTTTATACCCAGGTGGCTGACCTCAGCTGGAGGGAGATCATGTAGCAGTTTCGATTCCTGTACATAGAGTAAACTGACTTCCAACAGCCCCAGACTGAGTCCCACACTGGTCACAGACTTGGCTCTCACACTGGTCACAGACTAAGGCCCTGGCTGACCCATGCTTCTCTAGAACAAACGGAGGCCTCTGGGGGATTCGGCACATGCATCCAAGTCTTCACTAGAAAACATCTTTAGCCCTGGCCGGTTTGGCTCAGCAGTTGAGTGTCGGCCTGCGGACCAGAGAGTCCTGGGTTCAGTTCCCACTAGGGGCACGTACCACAAAAAAAAAAAAAAAGAAAAGAAAGAAATATCTTTAACCATCCTTCTTAGTCAGTCATGAGACCTGACCTCTGGCCCTCCAAGGGGTCTGCCAGACCTCCTGGAAGTCACTGTCTCGGCCTCAGTGGCCCTGGCAGCCCCATGTTATAGGTGAGGGCCCAATCCAAGTGTCTCTTCGTGGCTAATTCCCAGCCACTCAAGAGTGGCTGTCTTTACTGAGTACCCACCATGTCAGACACTGATAATAGTGGGATGAGTTAGACCCAGTCCCTGTCTTCATGTTCTAATGGGGAATAAATGACAGGATAGTATGGCAGATGCTTGGGGCACCAATGGGCAATGACCCACCTCTGCTTAGGACAGGCGAGGATTGGGAGGTGGAGGGAAGGAGGAATGTCTCACAGGGAAGGACCCTGAGCTGGGTCTCAGAGGGTGACTTTGCAGGCAAAGAGAGGGCTCTCCATGCAGAGGCCGCTGGGTTGAGGGCTGTTCCTTGCTTGCTCTCTCCTTGGAAGAGCTGACCCTGCAGGCAAGCCTGGCCAAGTTCTTGTGCTAAGCCAGCGCCTATAGTAACCTGCCCACTCTGTGCTGGCGTGGGCGGGGCAGCTCTTGAAGGAGGGGTAGCGCTTACCCACACATCTGTCCTTCCCATTCTAGCAAGCTCCAGAAAGGGGACTCCCCACGCCGCAAGTCCTCCAGAGGTAAATGCTCCCACCACACCCAACACCCTTTCTTCTTTGGCTTTGACTTTCTCTCAAGTTCTCAGCTACATTGGGGTGGGGGTAGGGAGTGGGGAGCCCATCTCTAGGCTCAGGTATCTTCCGCCTGAAGTGGCTCACTGGCCTGCCTTCTCCCCACTTCTCTTCCTCTCTTTATCCCCTGCAATAAGTATCTCCCTCTCTCTCTTCCTCACCTGGATGCTTCCCCAGCCCTCCAGCACCTTCAAGGCCCCCCCTGTGCTGTGTGCAGGAGAAAAACCCATTTTGCATCAACACTTGGATCCTAATTGGAAATCACCATTTGTAGCCCTCAGACAGACCTTACGTGGGTTATTACACCAAGGTTTCCTTCTGCTGCTGTGGTTTAGTGAGAGGAGGAGGAATCGGGGCCACTGTAAGGCAGTGGGATCCACTGTGATATATATACCATGAGACAAACAACAGTAATAATGGCTACCGTATAGTAAACGTCACGTGCCAGGTGTGATACGAGGGGCTGCACACAGATTGTATCCATAATCTCCGCAATCGATTTCAAAGAGAGGTGTTCCTATCCCCCCATTTTATAATTTAGAAAACTAGGGCATAGAAAGATGAAGTTAATTTACTCAAGGCCACATGGTAGCCTTGGGAATTCAACTTTGAACCTGGATCTGTTTGACTTTAGTACCCTTTAACACTAATCACATTCTTGGTGTGCACTGCCTTATTCCCCCAGGGCCAAGGCTAAAGTATTGTGGGAACCCCTCCAAGAACGAACCTCGTGGCCAATTTATAGGAATTACACAGGGAAGTCTTACGCCTTTGTAACCTCAGATTCCTTTGAGCCAGAATGCTCCTGCCCAGCTTGGGTTTCTACCTGGTTCTCTGGAGCTGCATCCAGAAGCTTTGAGGCTCCAAACTTCAGATCCACCTAAGCAGACTACTCTGCAAACCCAGAGTGCCGGTTCTGTGCCAGCCCTGCGTGGGGAGAGGGATATACATGTGTGGGGCTCATGTGCTGAGGCCCTTCCTCTGATAGAGCTCTGTGCAGAGCCTTGGAGGCTCAGAGAAGGGTGGGCTGAATGAAAAGGGCATTTGTCCCTCAAGTCCTAGGACAGTGACTAGGGCCTCATTGAAGTCCGATTCCAAACCCACGCGAGCACAAGTTTGGAGAGAGCAGCCCTGTGCAGCTCATAAAAACCCAGTGGAAGTACAGAACTGCAGCAGTTGGTGGGTGTGCCCAGGAGCTGGCCTGGCTGAGGCCACTGAGTCCTGCCTCCCCCATTTCTCTGCTTTTCCTTCTGTCCCTGCAGAAATAGCAGCACGATGGACCTGACGCTCTTTGCGGCCGAGGCCATCGCCCTTAACCGCCAGCTGTCGCAGCATGAGGAGAACGAACTGGCAGAGGAGTCCAAGGCACTGGCCCAGGGCCTCTGCTCCATGAAGCTTTCCCCTCCCTCCAAGTCACGCCTGGCCCAGCGGAGGGCTCTGACCCAGGCAGGCCGAAGTGGAGACGCAGACGAGGGGCCGGGCCCAACACCCACAGCTCTCTGACCCACTCCAGTCACACCTTTCAGGCCCAGGCCTGTCTAGGCATTGCCCCTGGAAACCTGTGAGACCAGAGTCTGCTTAGCAGGCGGAGGGACCTGCTGTGTGGCTCCAGCCAGGCTTTCTCATTCACAGAGGCTCTGAGGTTCCCACCCAACCCCCCCATTTCTCCAGAGACTTCAAGGAAAAAGCTTTTTCCAAAGGGGTTGTCTTTGAAAAGGAAAGCAATCACTTGTCACTTTGCATAATTGCCTGAGGCAGAGACATCTCTGCTGGGCTCCTGCCCACCTGCTCACCCGCCTGCGGATCCTGGATCCCGCCTGCTCTCCTGGATGGCGGCTGGGGCGGCTGGGCTGCAGCCTTCGGGGAGCCAGCCTTGAGAAGCGTCAGTTGACAAGAGGCCCTTCCTTCCCTGCACTGTCACCCCCCCACCCCCGTCTGTCCTTCCACCTTCCTCTGTCCTCCAGATGTCCTCCCCCTGGGCTGAGCAAAGCCATCGCCTCAATTCAGGGAAGGGCAGAGACACGTCACATTTCGGAAGCCAGATCAGTCTTCCAGTCTGTAGCTCAGAGAAGCACATAATCTTTCTTTGCCGTGACCGAAACGTGTCCCTCATTTATCATCCTCTTTCTTGTTTGGGATTGCTGCTAAAGTCAGTATTATTTCGTTTTAAAATAAAAAAAAATGTTTTAACCATGCTCTTCCAGCAAAGATGGGAGTTAAACTCCCCCTGCAAGTCCGTGGACTCGCCAGAGCAGGCAGAGGCTCCCTGTTTGCCGGAATGCCCATGCTTTTGGAAGGTTTTAATCAGCTGCTTCCTATTATTCTAACTGGTTTTAAGCTCTCTGCTGCTGCATCTCAGGCCTGCGGCGGAAGGAGCACGGGTCTGCCCGATGCAGAGCCCAGTCCAAGGCAGCCCGGCTGCCTGGTCTGAGCATCGTGGCGCTCGCCGCCACCGCAGAGCATGAAGGCGGACCTGGCGTCGGACAAGCTGAGCTGCTGAGCTACCTAAAGAGAATCTACATGCATGTCTCAGACATTTATACAACCCGACGATGCTATTATACATTGTGCTTGTTTTAATAAAACTTTTGAACTGTAGTTGTGGCCTTCCTGGTAGTCCTTTCTTCACCTGCAAACCTGAAGAGGAGACAGGACCTCTAAATATAGCACCTCACTGGACTCATGAAACAAGGTGAAGGAGCCCTGGCTGGTTTGGCTCAGCGGTTAGAGCATCGGCCCATGGACCAAAGAGTCACGGGTTTGATTCCAGTCAAGGACACGGACCTCGGCTGCAGTTTGGTCCCCGGCTCTGATTGGGGTCGTGCAGGAGGTAACAATCGATGTGCCCCTCTCACATTGATGTTTCTCTCTCTTTCTCCCTCCTACTCTACCTGAAGATAAATGGAAAAATATCCTCAGGTGACGATTAAAAACTAAAAAACAAAGTAAAGGAGACATGATTGTTTTTCTTTTTTGGATGAAAAAGTAAAATTCATCAAACATTTGTCGGTCTGCTGGTCTGTGCCAAGACCCAGAGGTGAGTAGGAAACAGCCTCTGCCTTTTAGGACCTCCCCATCGAGGGAAGGTGGTGTCAGCAGCCATCAGACAAGCTAGCTTCAAAGCTTTAGCAGATGTGCCCTGTGCACGGCCCAGCCCACCCACCCACGTGGGAACAAAGTCCCCCTGTGTCTAAAGCAGTACTAAGCCTTTCTTGAGGATCCCTTGTGTACCCGGGACTGTGCTTGTCCTGCCAGAGTTGGCAGCAAAGAAGAACGGCGCCTCGCCCGCAGCCTGCGTGTCCCTGCAGGGGCCTTTCATGTGCGCGGCCCGTGTAATCTCAGAGCAGGCTGGAGAGGACTAAGGAGGAAGGGTCTTCATGAGTTCCCAAGGTGGCAGCAAGAGGGAGGTCTGAGGGTCAGGGCGGTGGACTGGTGCCCTGGCAGCCCCACCCCCCAGGGATAGCAGTGTGGGGAGCTGGGATTAGGAGGGCTTCCCTCGGGGCAGGCGATGGGTCTGCTACCAGCTGCCCTGTCCCGTGAGTGCCTCCATGTGGACAGCATACCTCCTGTTGGCAGTCTTCCCTTTGCAGGACCCTTACCACCCTCACATCCCATCTTCATCCGCCCGGAGTGGGATCGGCGGGAAATCAGGCCTGCACAGTCTGAGCCTTCGGGCCCAAAGTCTCCCGGTCCCCGGGGACTCGGAACCAGGGTATGAGTTTTGTCTCTGGACTCCAGCTCCAGCCTGGGCAGTCCTTGGGGTTGGCCCAGCGGGGATGTGACTTCCAGGGGCTTCCTGGATCAGGCACTCCCCGTGCCCAGCCCACCCTGCCCTGCACACAACTCCAGCTGATCACTCCTGACTGCTCATCTGTGCCCTCTACCGCACGGCCCCCACCCTGGCCGGCCTGGCGAGACCCCTCCCCCCCTCCACGCCTCTGCTCAAATGCTACTGTGCCAGTCTGGGTTTGCTAACATTAGTGTGCACTTAGTAACAGGTTCTCTCTGAGAAGCTTACAGGCATTATCTCATTTAATTCTCACAGCAGTCCTGTGTGGTAAGGTACTATCATTTCACCCTGCTTAACATGAAAACCAAGCAGAGGGAGGAAAAAGTAGCTTGCCCGAGGCTGTACAACTAAGAAGGTGGAACTGGAATTCTTTTCAGAAAGACTTGGAACCCAGACACCTCTGCCACTTACCAGCTTTGAGCCTTGGGCAAGTTACTTAATCTCTGAGGGTCTGGGTTTCTTTAACCTAAAACTGGGCAGGCTGTTGTAAAAGTTACAAAGTAATAGATGTAAAGTATTTAGGGCAGTTTCAGGCAAACACAGTAAGTATTCAATAATTGTTAGCTATGATAGTTTGGGTTATTTTTATTATTACCTCCTGGGGGCAGAATTACTCAAGTGGGTCCCAGTGATGGAGATGAGTGGCCCCCCTTTCTTGGCTTGTGTGGGTGAAGATAGGTCTGGACTTTCCAGATGGGTCTGGCCTCTGGCCCTGTATGGACTCGTCCAGCTGACAGTCTGCTCTGCCCCCTGGAAGGGGGTCCCTGTCCCCAAAGGGCAGCAGTAGGGGCCAGGGGCCCTGGGTTCTAGTCCTTCCTCTGCCACTGTTTACTAAGTAGCCTTGGGAAGTGTCTTACCCTTTCTGAGGACCAGGCCGCATGCCTGGCTCTGCTGGGCAGGCAGGTATGGCAGACACAGAGGGATGCTCTGGGCCCTGGACCGTGGCAGCCAGCTCCCAGGCGCTAGTGTTCACACTCGGGTTGGATCATAGAAGAGAGCTGCCAGACAGCAGAGTGTCCCAGACCTCAGGCCTCAGCCCCAGCCCATTCTGGTTCGCAGAGCCTGAGGACTCCTGTGTGAGCCCCATCTGGGGCCCAGGCAGAGGGATCAAGTCTTTCTCCTTCCAGTTATCCACCTGCCGGAACTCTGGGGCCCCTCGTCCCTCCTGGCTGACTGCCCCTCACCAAACTTAGCTCCAAGGACAGCAATGCCTTGTCCTGTGCCAACTGCTCCAGCTACTTAGGTCTGGAGGGGATGGAGGAGCAAGGTTCCCCCATGGCTGGCACTCTTGTTGCCATGGTAGCAGTTGCCTTGGAAGCTGCTTCCAGACTTCAGCTTCCAAACAGCCCAGGAAAACTGCCTGTCCCCCAGGGGATCAGTGAATTAATCATGCTCTTTTCCAGGGTCCTCACCCCTCAAGGAAAATAAACAGAACTAAACCAAGCTGGGGCCTTTCGCCCACTCCTCCTCCTCACCCCCACGCCACCTCTGGATCTGGGAAGGAAAGGTCAGAGTCAGGCACCCTCCAGTCCTGCCCTCATCAGGAGACAGAGACTGTAATGAACTCAGCAGTGACCAATGGCCTAGCCACACCCGGAGTCTGGGGCCTGGAGGACCCGGGTTTCAAGGAGGAGAGCTCTGATGCGTGTGGGGCGGGAACCGTGAGTGGCCCGGCCGAGTGCCTTGAGCTTCCATCTTGCTTACCTGTTGTGGCAAAAACATCACCCAGGGACAGACACGTATGTCAGAGATGATGCAGCCTGTATGGAGATAAGAACTGGCAAGCCTTCCTCTCTCCATATGCAGTCAGTGGAGGAGCAGGCATCATAAAAGTTCCGAGCAGCCGTGAATGACTATGATGTAGTCTGTTCTCCTGTGATGAGGGAACAGACGCAGGCCTGGACTGATTCCTCCAATGGCGGGGTTGCCAATTCCTCCCACTTCAAATAAGATAATTTAGAAATTCAGGAGCAGAGATATGCTGGAGTACTTCCCAGCCAAGCAGGGACTCTGGCCACGGATGTCCTATCAGAGACTGGGACAAGCCTTCTACTCCCACGTCTGTTTCGGCATCTGTTCGAGAAGTGAGTCGGCATAGTTCTGTGGTTCCGTGACCTTGGTGTGTTTTTTTTAACCTCAAGACATTTTATCTTAATGAAGAAAGAAATGTTTGCTTGCGAATCCTAAACATGCCTCTTTCTGCAACCTAATATATATGCTGAGAAAAGGTCTATGGTTTTTTTCTATAGAAAAAGCTGACACTTGAGGAATGGGATTTGAGTTGGGAACAGACGTGTAACAAAACTCAATGAAAGACACCTAGAAACTGTGGGGAGTGGCCACTCCCTTCAAAGCAGCCTGCATCTTTTGGTTGGTCTGGGTCTTAAAGCATCACTAAAGGGAGACATCAATTTGTTGTTTCACTTTCTGATGCATTCATCGGTTGATTCTTGTAGGTGCCCTGATCCGGGATTGAGCCTGAGACCTTGGTGTAGCGAGATGATGCTCTAACTAACTGACTGCCCGGCCAGGGCTCTCTGTGATTTTGTAATTGATAATGGCTTAATGTGTCTCTCCATATTTCCTCCTCTGATTTCCTCCTCCTGAAGGATTTACAATGTCAAAGAAAAACTCTAGTTTGGAATTTGGCCTTTAATTTTTAGAGGTCAGAATGTTCTCCTGGAACCTGAAACTCACAGTGCACAGGCACCCAGACTCCAGCCTCTGCCATCCCCGTATCCATTCACAAGATGAGCAAAGCAAGGCTTAGGCAGATGGCGTGGCGGGTCCAAGACCTGCCGCTGGAGGTAGGAGACGTGGCCCGAGAGCTTCCGTCTTGCTGATGGTGTGGGAGCACCGCGCTCAGCTTTACAGAAGAGGAGCCAGCACGGCCTTGCCCACCCGCCTGGGGTCACGCAAACACATTTTGGAAGTGGGGCTCTGTGGGGGATGCTCAGATTCCCAAAGCTCGACATCCCAGGAACGTGTTTCCATGGACAATTTTGACTGCTCCTTCTAAAACGCGTCAGTGGGGGATCAATTACATGTAACAGAGACATAGTTTGTCATTTGATGCCTAATTAGAGGACTAATCAAACCTTATCCTGGTGAGAGGCACGGGGGACGCTGGCAGCAGGGGCTGTGGCCAGGCAATGCCCAGCTTCAGGGGCTTTCTCTTGTGAGCCAGGACTGGGCCCAGAGAGCCCATCCCAGCTCTGCAGGTACCCTCCTCTCGACACACTGAGTTCACACCTGTTCCCGCCCAGCATCTGGGCAGTGCCTTCCCTTGGCTGAAGCTCAGTCAGGTGACCCTGGCCTCCCTAGGCCCCCACCCACACCAAGGAAAGCCTCTTGTTAGAGACAGAGTTCCCTTGGTGCCCTCGGCCCTCCCCTTTGCCAGCCTGAGGTGGTTGTCAAGCCTTCCCTGAGCTCTGCCTTGTGTCCAGAAGCCTGACCCGGTCCCCTCTGGCCACGGCATTCTGTGGCGCTCACTCCGGGTAGCTGCCATTAGGGCCTCAGAGAGAATGAGGATGATGGTGGACACTTCGGAACATGGCAGCAGAGACAGGCAGCCCCCCACTCAGGCACCATAGAAATGGCTTCGCAGAGTTGGGGCTGGCTGAGCAGGGGCCTGCAGGATGAGGTAGTATTAACCAGACTGGAGGGGCCAGGTAGGCACTCAGCAGGAGGGCAGGAGCCGAGGAGGGGCGGGCAGGGGGCAGCCTTGGAGGAGAAGACAGGGGGACAGAGATGGGAGATCCACAGAGAAGCCAGTAGGGTTGGTGATGGGACCCTGGGGACTATGACCAGGTGTCTAGGTGCAGGGCTGAGGCCAGGGCCATATTCTGGGGCCAGAGAGCTCCTAATCCATACTGGGCCAGAGAATGCAATGAGCGAGGAGGGCTGGAACTGGGGTGTGGCAGGGCCGGGTGAGCGCTGCTTGGCCTCAAGTTGGTGGATC